ATAATGAAAATATGTAAATTACGTTGTCGAGATCATACTTCCTAAGAAAAAAAAAAAAAAAAAAAAAAAAAAAAAAACAATCCAACACGATCTTATTTAAAATTCTTTAAACGAATTTAAATAAATTCAAAATTCAATTGTATGAATTAATGAAAAATGACGTTATATAGTTCGTTGATTAAATAATTTCATCGTAAGATCATCAATGGGAACGAAGGATAAAAATATTTTTTTCAACCGATGTTTTATCATGAAGATATATTATCCATTGTGATAGATTGATATATACATACATACATACATATATGTATATAGATATAGTTATATATATACATATATATATATATATACATATGCATGTATGTATGTATGTATATAGGGACGAAGTATAAAACAATTATATTACTTGTGTAATTAATTAGTTAGCTTCAAAGCGAATCCAGACTTTTTCATTTTAAAATCCTTATCGCGTCAAAGGGAGATTGAGCTTCCTCCGAACGCGCATCGTTCAGAAATCCCTCTGCGGATTTTTACCGGATACCGACAAAGGACCGACGGTTATACATACTTTTATAACGGAGCTTGATCCCGTCCGGCCAATATTCGCGCGTAGAGAAAGAAAGAAAAGGTAGGTGAAAAAGGACGGATAGATGGATAGATAGATAGGATAGATAGACGGACAGACAGAGACAGAAAGAGAGAGAGAGAGAGAGAGAGAGAGAGAGAGAGAGAAAGATGGATAAGAGGAATAGTAAGAGGGAGAGGAAAATATTGGAAAAAGAAAGACGCCTATCGTTTCTGTTCCCTCTTCTCTTGTAGAAGAACTGTCTCTGATCTCTTTTCTTCCCTCTTTTTTTTTTTCTCCTACTACTTTCTCTCTCTCTCTCTCTCTCTCTCTCTCTCTCTCTCTCTCTCTCTCATTTTATAAGGATTTGATCCCTTGGACACGAAGCATTATACTATATATCGTGATACAGACCAGTGGTTAAAATTTTGTCCGTATTTCTATGTAATCGTATTCGTAATACCGAGTCGTATAATTTTACGGTTGGCTTATCTTTCGGCAAACGTCGGACGTATAAACATCAATTCAATGTATGAAATCTGTCAAAATGAATTTTCGTTCGATAGTGGGAAAGAGAGTAAGTGAGTGAGTGAATGAGTGAGTGAGTGAGTGTACGAGTGAGAAAAAGAAAGATCAAAGTCAAGTGTTGGAAACGATAAGACATCATTTTTCTCAGACGACTAATGCACGATCATTTTCTCGATCGTTTACCATTCCATCAATCTTTTTATAGATTTTTTCAAATTTCTTTTCACTTTTTTTTCCCTTCTTTTTATATATATATATATATATATATGTATTCCTTATACATTGAATTTGTCAATGTTGGCTTTATAAAGTTGGACATATCGAAACGCATTGAAATTCGTACGGGATACTATTAATCAGTCGTTAAAGTGCAACCAATTAAATGCAAAATGTTTGTTTATACGTTCGGTGGTAAAATCGGACGTTTATCGATGTTCCACCATTATATAAACTTTCGTTTGCGGTATTCCCATCCGCTCGATTCGATATCATGAGAGATAGTAGTAGAAAATCGCATGGGGAGTAGCTTAAAAGATTCATCCTATTTTTCTTCTTTCTTTTTTTTTGTTTTTTTTTGTTTTTTTAACCGAAACAAATTCACCTATAGACAATCATGGACAAAATTAAATGGACAGAGCATATAAGTTTTGGAGAATAAATTTTTGGGAATAAATTAATTAGAAATGTATGTTTGACACCTTAAATGTATTTATAAATATCGAAAATATCTTCTATACGTAAATATATGTTTTTTCTTTTATACATTTTTTTTTTCTTTTTTTTTTTTCTTTTTTTTTACGTAAGCATGTATGGAAACACGATAATTCGTCTGAAAGGGGAAAAAAGAAAAAAAAAAAAAAAAAAAAAAAATAAAAATAAAAGGATAAATTTGACGTTAATCTGTAGTAAGAATTAGTTCGATATTTTTTCCTTTTTTCTTTCCTTTCTCTTTTTTCTTTTTTTTTCTTTTTTTTATTTTTTTCACAAAATGAACTTCACTTTCAAAAATCAACAACTCATATTATACACATATATCTTTATCTTTATCTTTTTCCTTTATTCTTTTATTCTTTCTTTTCTCTCATCCTTTTGTGATATTCTATACGTCGTTTTAATAACGTAAGAGAAATTTTCCCATCCCCTTCCCCGCCCCTCCTCCCCACGCTCCCCTCCCCCATAGATAAACGCACGTGTCTTTGTATATTCCTCGTTCGTCTTTTCCTATTCGTGAATCAGCACTGGTTATGGCAATAACTAATAATAATACCGCGAAGTCAATTTCGAGGTGTCACGAGAAATGGCTTCTATATCATTCGGCCGCGAGGTGCACACTTCCAATTTCCAATTTCATTGCCATACATATGCACGCGCTTGCCCGGAACGACGAACGTTAACGTTCTTCTCACACCCTTACTCACGTTCTCTCTCTCTCTCTCTCTCTCTACCTATCTCTATCTCTATCTCTCTCTCTCTACCTATCTCTATCTCTATCTCTATCTCTATCTCTATCTCTATCTTTCTCTCTATCTCTATCTTTATCTCTCTCTCTCTCTCTCTCTCTCTCTCTCTCTCTCTCACTCAATTTCTGTGAACGTATCTCTTTTTCACTTGAAACATTTCTCATCAAATCAAATTTAAGTTCAAGTTATGGGATCAGTATTCTATCGTTAAGTATTAAATGTGTCCCATTCGTTAATCTCGATTAAATCATTTCTTTTTCGTTTAATTTTCTTATTTTTATTACGTTGATAATTTTACGAGTTCAAATATGACTGATTGAAAAATACAAAAAATAAATATATATGTACATATAAATATAAAGAGAAAGTGAGAGAGGGAGAGAGAGAGAGAGAGAGAGGAATGTTAAATGATAAGATACACGAATATTATCACGTCAGTATTAAATCAATCGAATCGATTCTAATTCAATAAACAAATTATATATCTGATATTAAATGTGACTGATTGAAAAATACAAAAAATAAATATATATGTACATATAAATATAAAGAGAGAGTGAGAGAGGGAGAGAGAGAGAGAGAGAGGAATGTTAAATGATAAGATACACGAATATTATCACGTCAGTATTAAATCAATCGAATCGATTCTAATTCAATAAACAAATTATATATCTGATATTAAATGAGCGTAAATATGATATTCGTAAATATGATATATCTATCGTTGAATTTATCATATCTAACAATTTAATTATTGTCAAATTATTTTCTTCGTTCTCGTTGAAATATTTGAATAAATTTTTCGTCGAAATAAATTTCATTTGGGGAAAAATACAAAAATAGAATAAATTATTATTAATATTATCATGGCGAACGGCATAATGTTGAAGGTAGAATAGGAAGAAGTAGAAAAAAAATTAACAAAAAACAAAAAAACAAAAAAAAGAAAAAGAAAAAACAAATAAAAAGAAAAAAGAAAAAAGAAGAGAGAGAAATATGTGCGTTTAAAAGAATATAAAACGTAAAAGATTTTCTAGCAGTTCTTATTATAACCAAAGATTTTCACATGAGTATTATCCAACAACTCAAGACTCAATCCGAGATCAATATAAATGAGAGGGAGTTCTCTCTATCCATGGATAGAGGAGAAGGAGGAGGAGGAGGAGGAGGAGGAGGTGGAGGAGGGGGTGAAGCCCTTGAATCCAGCGAAAAAAAGCCGCTAAATCAGCCGTGCCAAGGGTAGCAAACAGGGTAAGAGATTTGTGCTCTTGTAAGCCGGAGTAGCTTGGTATTTCTATCGCGAACGATTGGCCCGGGATAAAAGGGATGCTCACCGGTAGTAGAAAACGTAACCAGAGTCCCTTCCAAACCGATATCCCTTTTTTTTTTCTTTTTCTTCTTCTTTCTCTTTTTTCTCTTTCTTTCTTTTTTTTTTTTTTTTTTTTTTCCCTCGCAGAGACTCGACACGTAGGCCAATCTCGCGGTCAACTTTATCCTCTTTACTATTCTACTATAACCGAATCTGGGATTTGTCGAACGTAGATCAACCGACCCTTTTACGACCTTAAATCTCTACCATCTCTACTCGATTCTAATGCAATACAATTCGTCCGTCAAATTTGTTATTTACCAATTTCAATTGATAGATATTCAATAACGAGGTTAGCGTAAATGAAGTTTGTTAGCGTAACGATTGACATTAAAACTTTTTATATAATATCAATTTTATCGATACTCATACTTACTCGTTCTTGTATCGATTTCCGAAAAAAAAAGAAAAAAAAAAAAAAAGTGTCAATATTTTTTTTATAGATACGATTTACATTAACATTAGTTATCGATAAGTAATAATCGGTGCTATCGGATATTATTGATTTTGTATCGTTTCAATCAAAATCTATTTAATCGAACGAAACAAAAAGAAAAAAAAAACGTGAACTAATTAGAAACGTATTAAAAAAAAAAAAAGAAAAACATTAAACGTCATAATAAATTTTCTACAATGAAACGAATAAATTTACGTTCTTATATATACCATTAGAAAAAATTCATTTCTAAATGAAACAATTGATAACAATTAGTCGATCAATAATTAATATCATGTAAGTATATTAAATTATACGCTATATTTAATATTTATATTGAATCTAATATAATAAAGAAATAAATTGAAACAATTAACATGTAATTCATTAAATTGTTATAATTTGAAAAGAATATCGATCAAAGGTATAATCGAATAACGATAGAATTTCGATGGATGATAATGATAATGATAATGATAATAATAATAACAATAATAATAATAATGATGATGATGATGATGCTAATGACGATGACGATAATGACATAAAGGATGATGACCTAATAAAATAAAGGAAAATTTAAAGTCAAGATGAGTACTTTAACGTACCTTCATTGCACTCTTTCTCTCTCTCTCTCTCTCTCTCTCTCTCTCTCCCTCTCTCTCTCTCCCTCTCTCTCTCTCTCGTCTAGTGGTTACGGAAGAAATACGCGAAGCAGAAACGAATTCCGCGGTTCCGCGACCAAAGATTATCTCCCATCCTCTTAGTTTTCTTCCACCTCCTTTTCCTCCTTACTCTCCTCCATCTCTATCTCCTCCTCCTCCTCCTCCTCCTCCTCCTCCTCCTTCTTCTCCTCTTCTTCCTGTCTGTCGTTTCTCTACGCACTTATTCCAGACTAAAAGGCCAGGTTATACCTTAATCCTTCGTGTCGTCTGACGAAGAGAATTTATCGGTGTACCTTCGAGAGGAAGCAAAGAGAGATAGATAGAATGAGAGAGAGAGAGAGAGAGAGAGAGAGGGAGGAAAAGAGAGAGGGAGGGAGGGATGCGCCAAAGATTTGCTTTTCCGATTGAACCTCCGGGCCCGCAGTAGGTATACTTATGTAAGAGAAGGTAAAGAAGAGAGGAGGACGAAGTAGGTAGAAGAAAAAGAGGATGAGAGGATGAGAGGATGAGTCGAAAGATGAAGAGTAGAACTAGCTATATATATATATATATATATATATATATATATATATATATATGTATGTATATATAGATCCAGAGAAGGATGTTAAAACGAGCGACTTTCGACGCCCGAATGATCAAAGCCAAAATGATTCGTAATCACCAAAAGGATGTTCCCTTATGGACTTCTTATTCGAATTCAATTTGAAAGCTGTTCGTCTCTCCGATTTTCCCTATCCCTATCAAATTCATCATCGTGGACACCATCGTGGCCAGGTGATAGTTATTGCCATTAGCACCCCTTCTTTCTTTTTTTCCTTTCTTTTTTTCTTTTTTTTTTTTTTTCTTTTCTCACAAATGTTATTACGAAGGCGTCAAATCGGAATAATAAGAACAAGTTTTATTCAATGGCTAAGAGAGTCCATTCATCGAGGGTTTGCACGATCCCAGAATTTCTTCTATTTCTTCTCTTCGTTTTTTTTTTCCTTTTCTTTTTTCTTTTTTTTTTCCTTCTTCCTCTTTTTCTCTTTTCATTCATCAGTTTCTCTTTCTATCTCAATCGTTTTATTTTTATCGTCTATCGTTAGTACGAACACATATGCTTTTTTTTTTATATGTATATATATATATATATATATATATGTATGTATGTATGTATTTATGTAAATGTTCACATGACACTGTTATCAATAATATATATGATAAAATAATGAAGATTCGGCAATGAAGACGTGATTAAAAAGACATTCGAAAGATTCGATTTCAATTAACAATATCGTCGATAGATTGAATTGAATTCTGAGTAAAGGTGATAAGGAAGGGATTTTAGAGGAGGAGAAGAAGAAGAAGGAGAAGGAGGAGGAGGAGGAGGTATCGCTATAAAAAATTATAGCGATAATGTGTGTCATATCTTTTGAAAGAATTAATGATTCAAGATCAAAGATCTTTTACAAATATTAAGACGATTAACGTAACATTTAAGAGTAATAATAGAGGATCAGTAGGAGAGTATTGATAAAAGAGAGATAGAGAGAGAGAGAGAGAGAGGTGGGGGAAGAGGGGGAGGTACTTTCGGAGGAATGACCTTACTATGGTATCGCATAGGGTAATATACATATCTAGGTATACTCCGCGCCATATTGCTGATTAACATATGCATCCAATACTCCTCGGCTCGCTCAAATGCAAACACGTCAAGCCGGGAGCTATCCTCTCTCTCTCTCTCTCTCTCTCTCTCTCTCCCTCCTTGTCTCTCTCTCTTCTCCACGGTAACGTTGTATAAAGCACCGATTTCAAACGGCATATTAAAGGTCGACTCATCCGGCCGTGAAGCGTTTCGCGAACTATCGTCCCCTACGGCTAAGTGCGAGCGAGATTCGGACGGAATCATACCTCGTTCGACCTTCCTCCTTTCCCTTAAATATATATATATATATATACATCTCTAACCATTAACGATAGATTAAAACCCCTGTTTAGAAAGCTCATTTTTAATCGATCCAATTCTTTCCATTTTATCGTCGACAAAAGAAAGATAATCGATCGATATTATTTATTTTACGATAAAAATAATTTCTTTAAAATCGAATATATATATATATATATATATATATATATAAAATTGTTGATATTTTTGGTAAAGGATATGAAGATTGGGGGAGGTTGGGCGGACTGATTGGGTGAGAAGGGCTGAAAAGATAAACGAAAGTCAGAAATCCATTTAACGTTCACGTTCGAAATATCCTAGATAAGTTCAACACTTTGCTAATCTAGATACTAGACCTAACTAGAAACGGATAGAGACGATTCTCTCGTATCAGATTCGGTCTGCCGAATAGAGACGTGAATTGGATAGAGAGAGACAGAGAAACACAGAGATGTATGTGTATATATATATATATATGTAGAGAGAGAGAGAGAGAGAGAGAGAGAGAGTGAGAGAGAGAAAGAATGGGAGAGAAGGAGAGAGAAGGTATAACTGAAGCTGGCGATATAGAAAGAGGAGAAGGAGGAAGAGGAGGAGGAGGAGGAGGAGGTGGAAAAGGTAGTATGGACGAAAGGCAAATGAACGAGTTCCTCCATGAAAGGAACTCGTACAGAGTCTGGGAAACCCCATACGGTGGTCCCCGCGACACGGTCCCCAACCGACGACTAATTGGAATTCGTCCGTGGCAGTCGAAGCAAGCCTTTCTATAATTGAGACGTGGCCAGACCGACAAAAAATCCCGAGAAAAGCAGGGAAAGGATGCGCCTCTCCCTCCCACCCTTTCGTTCTTTCTCTCTCTCTCTCTC